TTTGGGTGCTCAGCAAAATGGCCTCATTTAGAGCTGATTGCAGTGTCCCACAGACACATGACCATGACTAAACAATAGTTTTGCTGAAAACCGGGACTTCCAATTTTTAGCCAAACTGTTGCCATAGCAAATCACAGATTCACTTAACAATTGCTGCAAAAAGGCTGTAAAATCAGATTGGTCATGTGACCAACCCATTTTACAAATGTTTAGACATAGGACTGTAATGGGCAGGCTCCAGTACAGTCATATGTCAAGGACTACCTATATGTAAAACTCATAACTGACTTTCATGGATCATAATAGTGCAGAGAAGAGCAACAAAGATGATTAGGGGGATGAATGCTAAAACATATGAAGAATGCTTGCATGAATTAGGTATGTCTAGTTTAATGAAAAGGATTAAGGGTGATATGAGAGCAGTATTTAAGGGGCTGCCACAAAGAGGGGGTCAATCTATTCTCCAAAGGACCTAAAGTCAGGACAAGAAGTAACAGATGAAAACTAATCAAGAACTAAGGAGGAATTTCCTGTTAGAACAATTAATCAATAGAACAACCAGCCCCCAAAAGTTGTGGGTACTCCTATAATGGAAGTTTTTAAGAAGAGATTGGACAACCATTTGTCTGAAATAGTATAGGGTTTCCTTCTTTAGCAGGCGGTTGGACTAGAAGATCTCCAAGATCCCTTTCAACTCTGTTGTTCTATTATAACCACAATCAGATGCAGGCAGATAGTAAGAGGGTATGCCACAACAGAGAGTAGATCTATCTTAACAACATGGGTGTTCTGAGCTTCCTACAGAAAAAAATTATATGATGATTATGGATCAACAGTTAAAATGGAGTAGAGAACAATTAAATGATTTGGAATAGAGATAGGAATAGACCAAGGTTGCCTGTTGTCATCTATGTGCACAATACCTGAGAATGCTAAATCTCAGGACACAAGATATTGGAATTAGAATGAGGGAGACATCAACCATCTTAATATGCTGATGATACTACTTCAATGGTTGGAAGCAAGGAAAACTTAAAAGAAATATATTTTAGATGAAAGAAGTATGATCAAGAAGGATAAGGTCATTGATAACATTCATAATAGGTCTTTCAACCTGAAAATATGTGAAATTTTGTGCTGATTGCTAAATGTTCTATTATTGAAAGTTAAATAAACTAAGATTATATAAACAGACATTACCAATCCAAGGTAAGTAACTGAAGTAGATTTTATCTTCCCAGGGTTAAAAAAAAATATAATTCACACAGTTATAACCATGCTATAAAGAGACATCTACTACTGGGGAAAATAAGTATGAACTATCTAGGCAAAGTACAGAGATTTCATATTAGCAACAAAAGCACATATTGTCAAGGTTATAGTTTTCACGGTGGTAGCATATGGCTGTAACAACCGGACCATCTAAAGGATTGGATAATGATAAATGGTTGCTTTTGAATTGTGGTGCTGGAGAAAACTAGAATGAATCACCCGCTATGAAATGACATAAAATCCAACTGTGCAATAGAAGCACTGAAAATGAAGCCAAAGCTTAGATATTTTGGACTCATTTTGAGAAGACAAGAGCCATTAGAGAAGATCTGATTTTGGAAAGATCAAAGGCCAATGAAAAAGAGGTTAATAGAAGACAAAGTGAATGGATAGTATTTTTGAGGGCATTAAAGATGAGCTTTCAAGAACTCAAAGAAGCTGTCACTGGCAGAAAATCCTGGAGAAATCATGGCTACTGGTCACAAAGAGTCATGAACACCAATAGATACATGCAGGCGTTTATGCAATGCTTCTTCTGCTTGAAAATTAGGTAGTACATTGATCAAAACAGGGCAGCTCATCACTAGAATTTTAGTGTGATTATTTGTATGGCTCACTCTTGTAAGAAAAGGAGGATCCCAAAAAGTCCACAAGGTGGCGCTCTGGCTTAACCTAAATTTCACTCCCAAATTTAGGAAAAGAACAGAAAAGTGAATGTAAAACGGAGTCCAGAGATCCCAGAGGTTTTGTTTCCAGCTCTGCCAATAAGCCGCTAATTTGAACATCTGCTGCTGAAAACAGAGGCATTCAAGAGGCAGTTCTATTGCAAAAATAAGAATAATAAAAGGTGTCCTGGATAATATTTGTGGAGTGGATCTGGTTTGACTCCAAAGGCTAGGAAGCTCTAAGATTGCAAAATGTCACAGATGATAGCTAGCATAGCTGCTAAGAATAATGCTGAAGTGGGAATGAGTAGAAACCAAACATTTGATTTAATAACAATACTTATGAAATGGTTTTCCTCATCACGTCTGGGCACTGATGAAAATCAACTGAGTTTTAATAAAATAACCCAAGCCAAACCAATTCTAGAAATAAGAGATCCCTTCTGAGGCAAAGGCACTTAATGCAGGGCTTTTCAACCTTTTTACCCATTGTGCCACTTTTAGGATATGGCAACATCCGAGTACCACCAATCGCCTAGCAAGGTGTCAAAAACTTGATGACTCAAAAAAAAAAAAGGAAAAAAGTGATAAAGTACAGGTAGTCCTCGACTTACAACAGTTCGCTTAGTGACTGTTCGAAGTTACAATGGCCCTGAAAAAAGTGCCCCCCAAGCCACAGCCGAGCAAGACACCTGTCTGCCCACCCGGTGGCGCTCCTCCTCCTGTCCGAGGTTTCCATTGTTGTGAGCATTTCTGTTGAGGATTGGCAGCAGGAGTGGGGTGGGGGGTGTTTGGTTTTTATTCCCCCCGTCTGCTGGGTGGTTGCAGCAGGTTTTGGTCACTTCACATGACCCTGGGACACTGTGACCGTCATAAATAAATATGAATCAGTTGCCAAGCATCTGAAGGTAAATCACAAGACCCTGGAGATGCTGCAACATTCCAGCTGATCGGCGCTTCTTCTGGGCTCAGCTGGAGCCTGGCGCTGATCCTGGTGCTTCCGCTGAACCCTGACAGCCCTGCACCTCCAGTCATCTCTCACTCAGGTTTGTGTGGTGCTGCCACCGGTTCAGCTCAATCCACTCCCCCACTACCACTTTTCTAGGATGGTCATGTACCACCTGCCAGGTGCCAATGTACCCCAGGTGGTACCCGTACCACTGGTTGAAAAGCCCTGACTTAATGGATGGGTCAAACTATTTTGCTGGGTGCCTTTTTTTGCATGTTTTGCACCACTTCTGCAACAGTTTGCAATATTTTAAATCTGTCTGAAAAGAGGGTGTTTAGCCATAGGTCTGTCTCTCTCTCTCTCTCTCTCTCTCTCTCTCTCTCTCTCTCTCTCTGTGTGTGTGTGTGTGTGTGTGTGTGTGTGTGTGTGTGTATTGCTCAGAGTAGTTCTGCTCCCAAAGCTTTTGGAATAGCCACACTGTAATAGATTTCTAAAAACAGGAAGGGGGATAGTGTAATTTTTTTTTGGGGGGGAAGCTGTTTCAAAGACAGGGATCACCTGAGAAGATGACCATCTTCCTGAAGATGACACAGGCATCTAGAGTAATCCAAAATTCATGTCACATGCATCATGGTATCATCATGGAAATAATCAGTGTATCCTCTTAAACCACCTCCAAGGACTATGTTGTAGTGGGTCTTCTCTTGTTTAGAGTACTGCAATGTGATCTACATGGGGCTGCCCTTAAAAACCATTTGGAAGATTCAACTGGTCCAGAATCAACTGTCCTGAGTGACTGAGTACCCCCACATAACACTTCTATTTTTGGAGCCCATTATCTCCTGAGTGTCAGTTAAAGTGCTTGTCAGAACCAAAGAATGACATGTGGCAGTTCTTCCAAGTTGAGTGAGTTCATTATTGTTTCACACCTATAGACAGAATCTTGCCAAATTGAGGATTCTACTGTCTGCTTCTACAAAATACTCTGTGAACTACTAGGGAGGGTTTGTCTTCACCTTCTTTCTCTCACACATAATACCTGGGCTGAATTGTTTCATACTTCCCTGGAATGCACTTCTTCTGTCCTGGGACTCCACTTCTAAACTACATTCCATCACAATACCGTTTGACATTTTTAAAACCCTACATTTCTTAGGATCTTGGCTCTACAGCAGCACCCCCTATTCCCATGGGCTTCCATCCCATATCCAGTATGATCTTGGATAGTAGGCATTTTCTGGGTCACTTCCCCCAAAGAATGTCATCTGTTCTGGATTGGTTTTGGGAAAAATAATATTGTGATACAGAATCTGCACTGCATTAGCTTCTTATGCATTAGACACCCTATATGCAAAGCCATTCCCTTCCTTTGTTTGCATGTAAACAGATCAGGCCCAGTCTGAGTTCAAGTTTATCGTTCAATCTTGCAGGCCACACAGAATCATGCGATTAGGGAAGGTCAAACACTTGTTGAGACTTCTTTCCCATAGCAAGAGAAGTTAATGTGAGCTCTTTCACACTCTTATCTTAATAGTTAGGTTTATGTGTCAAGCTAAGTTGAGTTTGTATAAACATGGATTTTGGAAAAAGCCACGATTGGCTGGGTTTGCAAAGCATACTAAGACATTATTTGTGGTTCACTAACCATGCTGGCTGAATTCATATAACATAAGCTAAGCAAACCCCTTGCTTTTCTTGCATGAATGAAAGACTTAGTTTACAAATGGAATATGTGATAACAAAGACCAATAAAGCAGAATGCTTTGTTACTATTTATATAATGAGCCATTCATTACCTGTTAAACTCTACAGGAACATTTTTTTTAAAGCAATGGTATTTCTATAGAAGATGTCAAAAGCATCAAGTGGTGGCCATGACTGCACAATTGAAGACCTTTGAATGCGTGGTTTACAGTCCTGGCCAACATCTTGACTTCTTCTGTTCCTGTTTCAAGGGAAACTTCATGATTTTATTATAAGTTCTGCTTAATTGCTGGAGTTTGGGAATAGTTGCCCTGTGCTCAGTATCCAGTGTCCCCCTCCTTCCCCAATTAACCCATATATAAGCCAAACAGCCTATTCATGAAATGTAGAGTCTTCGTTGTATCACTTACCCATTAGGCAGCTTTCTGAGGACATAAAAAGCAGTATATGAATACCGGTACATCTGCAGAACGAAATAAAAAATGAGAGAGGGGAAAAAATGAGATTAGTAATGACAAGATATGGATAGTTGCTTAAAACCTAGTGTAAAAAAACCTGGTTCAGTTGCATTTATTAAGGGGGGGAAAAGTCATAAAAACTAATTTTGTTCTGTTGGAGCAGAGAGAATCAACCCACCTTCTGCTATTGTGAGATCTTTGCACCTGGTCCGGTGCTTTTGTGAGTCCTGAGGCTTTGTTTCATTGCCATGGAAACCATATCTTTGATGATGCTGGGGCACAGGCTCCCAGCAATAACTAAATTTGGAATAACCAATAATGAGGATGCTGCAGTCTGCCAGAGGCAGCATTCACAGTTATAACTAAAGCCAATAGAGAAATAGCCTAAAACACAGTTCTGATCCATTGTAAATATACCCAGGCATTAATTTGCTAGCACCAGAAGAAAAGTCACAGTGTCTTTTTCCTGTTGTTGAGCAAAGGTTTATGGTGTCAACTGAATGTCAGTCATTCCTGAACTTTTGATTTGAGCTTCCTGTTTACTGTTAGGCATAACAATTTATAGCAAACCCATGCATACATCTTCGACCTGAAAAATAAAACTTTGGCAAGTGAGGATGAAATTAAAAGGAAGATGATATTAGATTGGGAAGGGAGGGAAAATGTTGTCAGTTATACCAGCTACGATGCTAGTCCTCACTGCAATCCTCAGGAAGAGATGAATCATTAGAAAGAACTTACTGTATTAAAATAAATAATTTAAAATAATAATAATATTCAAAGGATATGCATGTACTTCAAAATACAGCTAGTCCCCAACTTACAATGGGGACCAGAATTTCCACCGCTAACTGAGGTGGTTGTTAAGTGAATCACACCCAGTTTTACAGCCGTTTTTATCACGGTCGTTATGTGAATCACTGCAGTTGTTAAGAGAATCTGGCTTCCCCCATTGACCTTGTTTATTGGAAGCTAACTGGGAAGATAGCAAATGGGAGTTGCATGACCTTGGGAATCTGCAACTGTTGTAAATACATGCCCGTAGCTAAGGGTAGCCAAATTCTGATCATCCCATGATCAGTGCCATTATAACTTCGAATGGTCATTAAACAAATGGCTGTTAGTTTAAGACAAGCTATAACCCATAACAAACCTGTGTTAGTCATGAATATTCTTATATATTTTTTAAAAAAATGTTACTTTAATGACACCTGGATTCTCGTAGTTTTATGCAGGTGAACAAATGTTAACAATATTTTGACATCTTCATTCCACTTTTTTTAATTATTTGAATATCTGTAATATTATAGTAATCTATACTTTACTGTTTTGTAGTTGGGAGCTTGAAATAAACAAATTGCTGATGTTACATTAAAAAAATCCAAATGGTGACTTTTCAAAATTATCTGTATTCATCAACTATCTGCTTTTGGGCCCACTAAAGCTTCCTCAAATGCTTCTATAAAATTGAATAGAATAGAGCTGGAAGGGACCTTGAAGGTCTTCCAGTCCAACCCCCTGCTCAAGCAGGAGACCTTATTTCAGAAGTGACTATCTAGCCTCTTCTTAAAATCCTCCCAGGATGAAGCACCCACGATTCCTGAAGGCAAGCTGTTCCAATAGTTAATTGTCCTTACTGTTAGGAAGTTTTGCCTTAATTCCAGATTGTTTCTCTCTTTGGTCAGTTTCCATCCATTGTTTCTTGTCCTACCCTCTGGTGCTTTGGAGAATAATTTGACCCCTTCTTCTTTGTGGCAGCCCCTCAAATACTGGAATACTGCTATTATCCCTATTTCTTCTTTTCTTTAGACTAGCCAAACCCAAGCCCTGCAGCCATTCTTTGTATGTTTTAGTCTCCAGGCCTTTGATCATCTTAGTTGCTCTTTTCTGAACTTTTTCCATTGCTTTGAGAGCAGTTCTGCTTTCTTTCTTAAATAGCCACAATGTAAAGCTATGATTCTCAAGTAGGTCTTAGTGGTCTATCTCCTTCCCACTCTCTAACACCATGTTTTTCAACCTTGGCAACATTAAGATGTGCAGATTTCAACTCACAGAATTCTCCAGTTAGAATTCTTGGGAGTTAAAGCCCACATGTCTTATAGTTGCCAAGGTTCACAAAATGAAAATGAAATCATTCATTGACTTGCACTGCAGGGAGTAAATCAGTAGTCCTTGATGTACAACCACAATTGAGCCCAAAATTTGTTGCTAAGTGAGGCAGTTGTAAAGTGAGTTTTGCTCCATTTTATAACCTTTCTTGCCAAAGTTGTTAAGTCGGTCACTGTTAATTAGTAACACAGTTATAAAGTGAACCTGGCTTCCCCCTTTTGCCTGCCAGAAAGTCACAAAAGTTAATCACATGACCCCAAGACACTGCAACCATCATAAATATGAGTCAGTTGCCAAGCATTTGATTTTGGATCACATGACCATGCAATGGTCATAAGTGTGAAAAATAATCATGTGACTTTTTTTTTAATGCCATTGTAACTTCATCACTAAATAAACTATTGTAATTTGAAGACTACCTGTAGTTTTCTCTAAATAATTACTATGCAAGAGATGTTAGAATGCTGTAGAGTGTGATTGTGTCAGAAGCTGTGGTCATGGAAACGCTCTCGTGTCTAATTGACACAGCACAAAATCTTGACATTGTTGCTAACAGGGCCACTGAATTATCTAGATTGCAGAAATAAAGTCAATGTGTCCAGTTACATGGGCTCTAAATGGGCAACTAATGAATACATCATCTGCTAGCAAATATGACAATTCCAAACCATTGTTATGAAAAGAGCTAAGTCTAGGCAAAAGGGTATTGGGAAGATTTATTATATTTTTATATTCACTCCTTGTTTTTGCAGATATATACAAAGAAGGGGGGGCTTATCAAACAATTGCATGGCCCTGACACTACTGGGGCACACAAATGATAATTCACCCCCTGCCATAAAATTATCTCTGAGCCTGGATTCATTTAAAATCATGGAATCCCACGGCTGGAAGCCATGATGTGTCTAAGCCTATCAGAATATCAGAATCATGATAGAATGTTTATGGATGCATTTGAGCTACGGCTAACCAAGAAAACAAATGGGTCAAAGAAGTAATCAGTTCAGAGTTCTCACTTGGGGTACAAATGACTAGCCTCAAGTTATGGTATTTTGGATACTGAAAATCCAACTCTGTTGAGAAGTCCATATTGTTGGCAAGGTGGAGGACAGGAGAATAGGCTGACTAGGTGAGATGGACTCAGTTGCAGTGCACTGATGGAAGATCTGAAAGACAGACTGGGGCAGATGGTCCTGAAAAAAGTCTGACTTGATGGCATAAAATCAACCAATAAATTAATCAGTCAACTTGCTGTAAGTAGTGTGCTTGCTGCCGTCATGGTGCATTTACTTGACAACATACAATATGTTCTAAGCACTGGCTGTGGAATTCTTAAAATTGTCCTTAAAATTGTCAAGGTTGAGAAACACTGCCTTAGAAGGCATATGTTATCATGTATTAACACATAAACTTCCTATTCCCAGCTAGTAAAATTCCAAATATACCTCAGAAACTTATGTTTCTTGAGTTCTATGCTAATTATTTGGAAACTATCTAGAAGTGAGAATATTTATCTCAGACAAAACCCAGGTCTAGGTAATCAATGACCATCACAATGTAAACCAAGTACTATTCAGAAGTAATCCTCAGTGAGTATAAAAGGATTTACTCTGAAGTAAGTGAACCTGATATGATACCTCTGGTGTAATTATACTGCTTCAATTTGTTTTTGGAGTCTTGAGCAGTCACAACCAAATTGACATTCTCCAAAAATGGTGACTGAAATTCATAATTAAGCTGGTGTTAGTTCTGGCTTATGGTTTAAACCGATCTAACTACCCATCTGTCCATCCCTCTGCCACTGGAGGAATTCATTTTCATTGTATAGTAACAGGTGTTGTTTACTTCCACTCATTTTCATTTTTTTAAATATGAAAGGGTCAATTATGAATGAAAACCCCCGGTTATGACACTGAGTAATGAACTAGAACTTATTTGTTTCTGAATTAGCTTTATTACTTGCCCAGATTCAGTGTAGAAGCAGGCCATAACTGTTCACAAGCTATCATAAAATGAAATGTCCCAAAGGCGCTTTTTCAGAAGGCAACTGGATTATTTCTTCCTCTGTCTTCCATTGTAAGATCACTGAAGAAAGCCTAGCTCTGCTGGAGCCAAGGGGATCAGGTGTTTAAGTGCTCGTGGCATCCTTTGTTTTTAGGAGATTAAGGATCACATGCTTGTATTTGTAATAGTTGCTTATTGCTAAAAGAGCCCTTTATCACATTGTGTTGGGATAAAAAATGATCTGATACCTGGTTAAGACATCAGATTAGAAAGTGGGCAATTGCGAGTTTTAGTCTCATTTTAGGCATGAAAACCGTCTAGGTGATTTGGGGCTAATCACCAGGATATGGTGAGTTCTTGTTCCGTCTTAAGCGTGAAAGTCAGCTAGCTAGGTGACTTTGGGTAAATCACCAGGAGATGATGAGTTCTAGTCCCTCCTTAGGTATGAAAGCTGACTGGATGGTTTTGGGCCAATTATCAGCAGACTGTGAGTTCTAGTCCCTCCTTAGGCATGAAAACTGACTTGATGACTTTGGGCCAATTATCAGCAGACTGTGAGTTCTAGCTAGCTGGGTGACTTTGAGCCAGTTATACTCTGTCAGCCCAACTTAACTCATAAGGCTATTGTGGGGAAAATAGGAGGAGGAAGGTGTGTTGGAAGTGTTTACCACCTTGAGTTATTTGTTAAATAATAAAGGTAGGATAGAAATAAATAAAAGAATACATCTTTGAAGGGCAAGCATCAAATTTATTAAGTATTACACACTGAGTCACTTTGGTAAGGGCAGGACCTCTACACCAGCATTTCCTTCTTGTCTCTTCCTGTCCCATGCAGATATTCCTAAAGGTCTTTGTCTCCCACCCCAAAAGATAATTTTGAGATTTTGTTTGA